ACTTCCACTTTTACCAGAGTATTTTTTAACACAAGTATCTGTACTTTTACTCAAGTACGGAAAGTGAGTACTTTTGCCATCTCTGCCGACTGATCACGGCAAAAATAGCTGCCATTGTTCCAGGCAAAGAAATGCCGCACAGACCGAGCAGCAGAGATGCTTCAGCCGCAAATCTAAACTTGTACAAACATAAAAAGCAGCAGGCGTGTTTTTGCAGCTTCTGCTGCATGCGGTCTGAACGTAGCATCCCTCAGTGCCGCTTTTCTGGGGACTTATTTGGAGCTTTCCTCGCTGCACCTGAACATAAACATCTCCACTTTAGTTTCGCCGTCTAGAGACTCCAACACTTTTTGCAACTTTGTTTTCCTAGTTAGGGCAACCTTTGAGGCCCCCTCCCTGCACATTTTGTCCCTTCATTTCTCCTCTTCATCTCAGCATCTGTCCATTTAAAACCCAATTAGCCTCTAATCAGTTCTTTGATCTTGTTTTAAAACTTTTTGCATGAAAAACTGAGCCAGACTCCAGCCACCTTCAATTTAAGCCATTTTCTGGTTGCCATGGCAGCCATTTGCCTCCAACACTTTCATCCCATTTTACATTTTAATAAACTGCAAAAAACACTTTAAATTTTGTAAAACTTGTTTTATTTACAACATCAACATTTCATTTATGCAGATTGTTAATGTACAGTTAAAAAAGTTAAATTACACTTAAAGTTTGCGAGGAAAAAAAAAAAAATTTAAAATTTAAAGGACTAAATTGTTTGGAGTCCTGAAAGTTTCCAGGTCCGACCTGCTGGAAAACAAGTCAAATATTTACAGTTTAAAAAAACAACAATAAGAGCAAAAAAAGAGGCACATTTCCACAGATGGCCTCTGATGGTGGGGATAAAAAAGGAGAAAATAAAAAGTGATCAGAGGCCCATGTTGTCCCACACCTCCTGGCCCTTGGAGGCCTCCAGCTGCTGCAGGTGGAGGGCCAGCGGCAGCAGCAGGTCGCTCAGGTGCTGGCTGGAGAAGGTGAAGGCGTTATGCACCGCGGCCTCAGGGGACGGGGAGGTGGAGGAGGAGGAAGGAGGCGAGGAGCCGTTGGAGGAGGCTGGAGGTAAACCTGCTGTGCTTGGAGGCCGGGGGGAGAGGAGGTCAGGGCTCCGGGCTTTGCTGGGCAGCCGGTGCTGAAAGCGGCAGCTGGTGCCGTAAAGGCAGAAGCCGAAGGAGCTGAAGGTGTTGCACAGGGGCCCCTGGGGGCCCCACTCCTTCCTCTGCGGAGGAGGAGACGGAGCAGCAGGAGAGCCACCGTCCGCCTCCACCTCCTCCACGTGCAGGAAGTTGCAGCGTTTTCCAAAGGGACAGACTCCGTGGGCGAGGAAGCGGCGGCAGGGGACGTTCCTGCGCTGCTGCAGGGCCTGCCGCAGCTCGGTGGGGCTGTGGGCAAACAGGCAGCGGGCCCCGTAGTAGCAGTAGCCCGTGGTGTGGTAGTTCCGGCACAGCTCCGTCTTGTACTTGGGGTGGCGGAACGGAACGTGGAGCTCGTTGAGGCCGTGGGCGAACTGGCAGCGGTCGGCGTACTTGCAGGCGCCGGTGGCGGCGTAGCTGGTGCACAGCTCCGTCTTATAGCGGGTGGAGCAGACCCAGGGGGCGGCGGGAGGGGGGAAGGAGGCCTCCACCAGGGGCAGCAGGGCCTGGGTCAGAGAGAAACCGGCTCCTCCGGGGAGATCCTCCGGTTCCTCGCTGCACAGCAGGTTGTCCACCAGCTGCTCATCCTGGGAGGATGGAAGCAGCAGCTCATCACAGCTGATCTGGAGCAGAGAGGGAGAGAAACAGGCAACACACTGAGAAAAAGAAACAGGCAACACACTGAGAAAA